AGTGTTTAGCCGTTTAGTCTCCTTTTCAGTGATCATTCAGTTGATTAAAACGTCAGTGTCATGTTAAGCCTTACATTAAATAATTTATATGTCCTCAAATATATCCAATATATTTTCCATCTCAGAATAAACTTACTTTTATAAGAACCAAGGTCTAATTATCGATAAATATTGCAAACAAAAAATCAAACCATAATTTTAGAAATGTTATCTGATTTCCTGAATTAAACATCGCTGAAATATTTTCACAATATTTACTCTGATTCAATATCCTACGCTGCATGATATCGAGGGACTTAGCAGCTAAACCTTTCTGTGAACTCTGTTTCATTGATAAAAGAACCGTAATTATTGGAATATTCAAACCTTAAATACATCACTAAAAACTGTTTTTTTTTCACACATGTGCATTGCATTGGGGAAATGCTAAGTCAATATTAGGATAAAATTGCAGGAGGTGTTACATTATTTCACATTAACTGAAATGTGTTGTCTTAGGGTTTTTTTTAGCTTTAGAAGGGGAAGGGGGTGTTATAAATCTTGGTATATTGACAGTATCATGATACTAGATATGTATATTTAATAAAATACAACATTTATTAAACTCCATATTTCAAATCTTCAATGATTTCGTAGATATCTTATTTTTCCGTAAACGTTGCTTCGCTCTGTGTGTATTAGAATCAAAATTATACTTTTTTTTCGAATACAATAAATACCCCCGTGTAACAAGTTTTGGATAGTGAATTACGTTGAAAAATAAATAAATTTGATAGCGTTTATAATTTATTATATTATATTCATCGAAAACGATATTTTATACTTTGAAACAAGATGTGTTTGTGTAACACTGATGCCCCCGTATGGCAACATAGCGAAGATTAAACTTTTCTTAAATGCAAATTAACCAAAAAACCAAAAGTAAGGTCTTCTCACAAGGAATACAATTGTGAAATATGAAAGCCCTAGCGCCACCTGTTTAAAAGTTGGCAAAGGTTAAAGTTTCTTAAAGGTAGATGAAACTCCAGGGTCAAGGTCAAAGGGTTATATTTGGTTTCCAAAGAAAGGTATTGCCACAAGGATCACATATATGAAGTATGAAAGCCCTAGCCCTAACTGTTCAAAAGTTACAACCAATGATAAAATTTTTAAAAAGAATATCAAACTTCAAGGTCAAATGATCAAAGTTATTGGTGTCTAACGAAAGGTCTTGTCACAAGGATTAAATATGTCAAGTATGAAAGTCCTAACCATTCAATATTTATAGTCAATGTTTTTAGCTCTACAGGTCAGAGACCAGAAGAGCTTATGCGATAGTAATGCGTCCGTCCGTCTGTCTGTCTGTCTGCATGTCCGTCTGTCTGTCTGTAAACAATTTTTCAAAATGCTATTCCTCCTACAGTTTTGGTCTGATTTCAATATAACTTGGCACACAAGTAGACTACACTAAGATACACAATTCTGTATACCGGTTTTTGATTTCAATGAACAGTGTTGCCGTGGTTACTAAAAATAGAAATTTCTGTGAAATTCTTTCAAAATGCTACTCCTTCTACAGTTTTAGTCTGATTTCAATATAACTTGGCACACAAGTAGACTACACTAAGATACACAATTCTGTGTATCGGTTTTTGATTTCGATGAACGGTGTTGTCGTGGTTACTAAAAATAGAAATTTCTGTGAAATTCTTTCAAAATGCTACTTCTTCTACAGTTTTAGTCTGATTTCAATATAACTTGGCACACAAGTAGACTACAATAAGATACATAATTCTGTGTATCGGTTTTTGATTTCGATGAAGTGTTGCCGTGGTTACTAAAAATAGAAATTTCTGTGAAATTCTTTCAAAATGCTACTCCAAATACAATTTTAGTCTGATTATAATATAAATGTGGCATGCAAGTAGACTGCACTAAGAACATAAAGAGAACTTAATCAAGGATCATTGGTCTATTTATTGCTGTTGAAAAGTTTCAATTTCCAACTGCTTAAGTACTTTTCCTTTGCTATAAGTACAAACCAGTAGAGCTTCAGTCTCGACAGAGACTTCTGGTTTGTTTAAAAATAGGTCAAACTCCAAGTTCAAGGTTTAAAGTCTCGGTATCCAATGAAAGTAATTCTCGCATGAATTACATATGTGAAGTAAGAAAACCCTATCCCTTACCGTTCAAAGGCTATGGCTAGGGTTTTTTTTTTTAAAGTACGTAAATCTCCAAGGTCAAGTTCAAAATGTCAAAGTTGTTGGTGTCAAATGGAAGGTCTTCTCACAATGAATACAAATTTGAAGTATGAAATCCCTAGTATCTACCGTTCAAAAGTTTTGGATTCCTTGTATAAAAGTGTGTCAAACTCCAAGGTCAAAGTCAAAAGGTCAAATCTGTTGGTACCAAAAGAAAGACCTTGTCACAAGGAATACACATGTGAAATATGAAAGTCATAGCTACACTAAATCAAACAATATTGGCAAGGTTAAAGTTTTTGCGGACAAAACAGACGGACGAACTATATACCCCCAAATCTTCCACTACGGTAGCATAAAAAGCTATTGCAATGAATTACTTCATTCATGAGGACCAAGGGAACATCATGTAAAAAGTTTGAATGCATGTACATATAGTTTTCCACGAAACTGTGTGTGCGCATCCGTGCCTAATATATACAATCAAAATGATAAAGAAGTGGTCAAATGAATTCTTATTAAAATAATTTTCTGAATCAATTTCTTTGGAAAACATGGTGTGTTTGTGAAACACTGATGTCCTGTATAGCAACTAATTGCTTGGTCAAAAGTTGTTAAACAAAGAAAGGTCTTGGCACAAGGAATACATTTGTGTAATATGAAAGCCCTAGTTCTAAATGTTTAAAAGTTAGGACAAAGAGAATGTTTCTTAAAGGGGCATGGACACAGATTTGAAGTTAATATTTTCTGTATAATATCACGAATTATATATTTAAATAGCATTTCACACAAAAATATATTTAAAATTTTATTTCATTTTAAAGTTATTGAAACTTCAAATTTTTGGATGGGTTTGATTTACACATCCTTGCACTTCCACAAATTTTACTTTTATTCTTAATACTTAGGAAAAGTGGCAATCTTGTTGTGTATTAATGAAAAATATTAAAACTTAAATCCAGAAAAATAATTACATTCAGAGTAGAAATGTTAGCAAGCAAAAGCCCATCACAAGTATCGTCACTCCACACTAAGTGTTGTGTGCAGAGTTTTGCAAATTGATCGCACCCATGAAACGTACACAGCTTTTGTAAACAGGGCACGCGCTCTGTTATTATTGATGTTTACGATTCACCGGGTGCGTTCAATTGTTAAAGTCTGCTCACCAAAACTGCACGGACTGACAATATACTGTGTGTATGTTTTGCTTTCGAACATTTCTACTCTGAGTTTTCTGGATTATAGTTTTAATATTTTTTTATTTATACACAAGAAGAATGCCACTTTTCCTACGTATTATGAATAAAATTAAAATTTGTGAAAGTGCAAGGATGTGCCAATCAAACCCGTCTAAAAAATTAAGTTTTAATAACTTTAATTTTAATAGATGAAATAAGATTTTAAAAATATTTTTGTGTGAAATGCTATTAAAATATATAAGTCGTAATATTACATAGAAAATATCAACTTCAAATCCGTGTCCATGCACCTTTAAAGTAGTTCAGATTGTTAGGTTAATGTCAAAAATACTCGTTGATTGTTTGAAAGGTATCGTCACAGTGAATAGACTTATGAAATAAGCCGTAGCACCAACTATTAAAAGCAATGGCCAAATTTGATAATTTTAATATGTAAATGTGGGATAAACACCAAGGTCACGAGGTCATATTTGGTGGAACCAAAGGAAAGGCCTTATTACAAGAAATGCATTTGTGAAATTTGAAACTCATAGCATTTGTTATGACTTTTATTTCTTTGCCTGGCATTATCAATTTAATCTTGAATTGCAGTAGAAAATACTTGTTTTTATATATTCTTAACAGCATGAAATCCAAGACATTTTTCTATGGAATGAGATGAAAAGAACTATTATCCCTCGAGGTTTAATTTTCTGTGAATGAAAAAAAAATCGGTTGAACATATTTGTCCTTGATAAGGGCTTATCTGATTCGATTCTTATTTTACACGATCCTTTTTTTGCACTAACATACAGGATTTTTATGCCCTGGATCGAAAGATCCTGGGGATATATTGTTTTTGTCCTGTCTGTTAGTCTCTGTCTGTCTGTTGTCAACTTTTGAGGTGGGGCTATGGCTTTGAATTCATATTTCACAGGTGTATTCCTTTTGTCACGACCTTTCCAAGGATACAACCAAATCTGACCTCTTGACCTTGGAGTTTGACCTACTTTTACCCCCCCCCCAAATCCCACACTTTAACCTTGGTAAGTTGGAGCTAGGGCTCTCATCCTTCATATGTGTATTCATTGTGACAAGACCTTTCAGCTGGTATAAATTTTTGTTACCTGACCTAAGAGTATGACCCACTTTTTTTAAAAACTTGAACCTTGTTCATAACTTTTGAAAAATTCGAAATAAACTTTCATATTTCACAGGTGTATTCCTTGTAACAAAACCTTCATTTGGGTACCAACACTTTTTACCTTGACCTTTAAAGTTTTACATGCAGTTGAGAGAATTCAACCCGTGCTCTAAACTGCCATACGGTGACATCAGTGTTTCACAAACTCATCTTGTTTCTTCTGATCTTCACACCGTTCTAAAGTCCCTCACGACAGAAGGCTAAACGCTGATTGTTGTAAAATCTACTTTTAACGAAGCTGAAAAACGAGAAAAAAATATAATACTAAGCACATGTACATGTAACTGCAATTAACAACAGCAGTTTTAACGTGCTGAAAGAGAACTTCAGATGTGTATAACTTTATATTTTAAAAAATTTTTCTATTCATCGTTTCATGATTTACATTTGATTTTTTAAAAATAGTAGTTACTTTTCACGTTTCCTTTTTACTTTCAGCAATCTTCTGAAGAGCTTGCTCAATAAAAAGAATCCCAATGTATCCTTGGCAGTGGCTATGTCTCAGTTGAAGAGTTACATGGGATTCCATAATACATCAGAGGAAGAAATTCTTAATCACATCTCTGCTTTATTTTCCAACCCTGTACAAGTGGATACGTATGAAGATTATGAAGAATTTCAAATACAGCGTTTCTTACGACGATATATTCCCCCATTCTTGATTCTCATTGGTCTCGTTGGTAATGTGATGTCATTTTTCATATTACGTCACAAGTCCATGGCGCGACATTCAACCAATGTTTTTCTAGCCGCTTTATCAATTGCTGATCTCATTGTGTTATTCGTAGGTTTGTTTCGATTATGGATTGGGGAAATTCTTGAGAATGACTTTCAAACTGAATCAGATTTCATGTGTAAGTTTGTAAATTTATTAACCTACAGTTCTAGTCAATTTTCCGCGTGGCTGGTTCTTGCAGTGACTGTGGAGAGATACATTGTTGTGTGTCATGCTCTTCAAGCAACACGTTGGTGCAGTCGGGAACGTGCAAGAAAAACAGTGGTTGTGTTGGCAATTATTTTTATTCTTATCAATTTGCATTTGATATGGACCACTGGAATTAGAACTGACATGGGTCGAACAAAGCCAGAATGTGAGGGTCTCAGGAATTATGAATTTCTAGTCAGAAAAGTTTGGCCTTGGATTGATGCAGCCTTGTATTCCACCATTCCCGTTATATCTATTTCGCTCTTCAACATTCTCATCATAAGACAAGTCATAAGTGCCACCCATAGTCGCAGATCCTTACAACACGCTCCGCTTAACAAAATAGAACTAAAGAGACGCTCAAAGAACAAGAGCTCGAAACTGACAATCATGTTATTAACAATATCGTTCGCCTTCTGTGTAACGACTTTACCCATGAATGTCGTTATAATAGCCAGCTATCAAGTAAGTAACAATCCTAAGGAGATAGCAAAATTTTGGCTGGTTCGCACAACAGCGGAACTGTTAATGTATCTTAATCATTCCATGAACTTCTTTTTGTATTGTGCCACTGGACATAAATTCCGTTCCATAGTGCTTAGAATCGTCTGCAGGATCTCTAACTTTTCAGATCATAGCCAACATATCTACTGTTCTGGGGGATATAATGGCTATGCTTCTGGAGGCTGTATACACAGGAAGGTTGAATCTGCCGACTCTTCCAACAACGATGATTTAACCAATCAGGTAACAGCGTTATGAAAGATTCGCAACCACGTGACAAATTAATAACCATGTAACAAATGAATACTGTGAACAAATATTTATGTTTAATACAAGTCACTTTTAAGAAATTTCTTAATTGACGTAGTGATTTTTTTTATATTGTGTTTGCAGAGGGGAAGGATACGAATTTTGTATTTTTTGATAAAAAGAGCATTTATCTGTTGGACACATCTTAGATTCTGCAACTTCATTCTTTTTTCTAGAGCAATTTGGATAAATAATACTTATGGAAAGTAAAGAATCAAAATAACCGTTAATTTCAATTTAAGTTTATTAGTTTATTATACAAATATGATATAATGAAGATATTGACCGAAGATACATGTGCAGGGCGCTTATCGATATACTTCATGTATCTGGGTCAATATCTGACACATATTGAGTCCATATTTATTATATTATATAAATAATAATTTCCCAAATTTAATAGTACAATGTACATGAATTTGATGTATATCTTCCTAATGTTTACAGAGATAGTATTAACCATAAATAAGTTGAAAGTAAATGTTTCAGAATTCATTGAATATTATTCAGAGGAAATGGTTTCGATAATAAATTTTAACCCGCCATAGCACGATAATAACGCAAGATATCTATCTCAGAATAACACAGATTCGAGTATCCCCCAGATTGAGAATCACTCTCATTTACACTTGCAGAGGAAATGCATTGATAAATTATAAATACCTGTCTTCTAAGATAATATACTATCTTATATGGCATGCTTGTTTACATTTTTTTTAGTCTCCGTAATCGCGTAAACACCGTCAAATCTCTGCTCGCCGAGTGGAAAAGTCGAACTCAAGCATGAAATGAATGTGCTTAGTAATTATTCACAGATATTTGTAATTTTTTTGTATTATCAGCCTTTACTATATCTTTTAAATTTTCCTCATTTGGGACCTTCCATGTTTGTCTAAAGCGAAAGTGAAAACGAGGCAGCTCGTGCGAGTCATTATTCGCTTTCAGCGGTCGTTATTAAAAAATAAGTACTTCGTATTGACCAATCAGATTACCGGATTTCACAAAGTTATATAATATTTCATAATAAATGCTTATCAGCTAATTAAAGAACTTTAAGTTTTGATTTAGTTATATTCATTCATACACGTGTAACTATCTATCTCATGTACAATCTCCGCTATTCATCAGAATATGATAATGAAGTAAATACATTTATGAAGCTTTACAATCTATTTTCTTAGTAAATTGAGGATTTCAAAAACAAATTTGAATAAAATTCAAAAGAGTAACAAAACAAATAGAACATTTACCAGGTAAGCCTGGACTTTCAGTAAGGCGTGGCATTCTTGGTGCTACGTAATTAGCGTCTATCAAATGGCCAATAGACTCTCATTGGTTAAGAAATTAATAACATCAGGAACTTTAAATTGTTGACAACAATGAGACGACTTAAGGTCCACCTCTTTGCCGGAACGAGACAATGTCATTGGTTATTCGATACACTAATTTGCATTTGCCGGAATTTCTATCCCATGTATATTTCAACAGTGAAGGAAAGCTGTATAAATTTTTAATGTTGAGAATGCTACGCCTTACGGAAAGTCCAAGCTAAACTGGAAATGGTTATATATTTCTTTTAAGTAGACATTGGATTTTATCTTGGGGTAGTAGGAAATTAGAATTTTAGAGTCATGCATTGCCAAGATGTTTTTGTTTCAACAAAAATTGAAGCTACAATGTAGTTCTACTTTTTCCAACAGGTACTATATTACTAATAGTATATTATCATCAAAAAAGCTTGGTTAGTTTCTATTGATTTCACTTATCTTAATATACCAAATACATATAGACCAAGTTTCAAGTATAGTAACTGGTCCTTTTCAGTTTTTTTTATTATTATTTTCATTATAATGAAACTATTAAGGACCATGGAAGGCGGGGGAGCTGGAGACAGGAAACAAAAACTAGAGCGGAAGTTCAGTTATTCTTTTGCAAATTCACAATTCCATTTAATGTAAGGAACATGAATGTTTGCATAGCGTTACTTCACAATTATGACATTTCATAATTTATATTTTTGCTACGATTCAAAGATGCTTGATGAATTAATCAATGTATGTGATACATCTTACTTCCTATGATTGTTTGTATTTGTATACGTACCGATATACCACCCCTCATTACTTGTTTGACAAAAAAATGTGATATTGAAATTAATGTATTTTTATGCATTCTTATCACAATCATTAACACAAAAGGTGATGATAACGAGATGATTTTTTGTTGTAACGTATTTTTATCCTTGTTTTGCATTGTTATTTTGTACAAGAAATTATGATTGTTAAAATAAAAAAAACTTAACATTTTCTTGATATCGTTAATATTGAGAGAGATAGAGAGAGAGACTTTGCTGTTTGTGGCTATTAAGATAAGTAAAAGGAGACAACGCTTCTTCTTCGTCTTTGATTATGACATTTAATAAATCCATATATAAAGATCTTGAAAAGGTGGCGGAGGGGTGATTAGTTTCCTGGTATTCATTTAAAAGCTTTTATAATGTATCATCATATCGATCTACCTTATTAGCAGTTTCTCCTCAAAGTGCTTAATTTTTCCTGAACGAAATATTAGGTGCTTCATTTAAACTTATCATCTGATGCCGCTGTTATCGTCAATTTTTTTTCTATAGTTTTATAATTACCCAGTATGTTTAATAGTCATTGGAACAAATGATATTGATCGCCGTCTTTGATTAAATACTTTAACTGAGTGGATTTAGAACAACAGCTTTTTATAATTATTGTATTGTATTGATAAAGAAAAAGTAGTAAATGTAATCCGCGAATTTATCTTCCACGTTAAACAATTTTTAGAAGGAAAAATATTGTCAAACAAAGTGTTTTTCTTGTAAAAATAGCACCTGTTTTATACGAGGCCAAAGAATTCTCACAACAGAGGATGAGTTCACATGGTTCTACGTACGATGTCCGATAGCGGCCGTCAATTTACACTATCATTATGTGTAACGTGTACAGCATTTTCACTGAAAATCATTGACACATTACACCAAAACCAAAAAGTGTACAAAGTATACAGTGTTAAAGCAAATTCAATGTACACTCTACACCAGCAAAATGTGTGTAAAGTATCAGGAAAAGTTTCATGTATATTCTACTTTTAAAAGTAGTATCAGGTATCAAAACAGAACCAGCCACATGAAATTCTCATAAACCCAGGGGAAATGCTGACAGATTAAGTTCTTTTGGTAAATAATAGTAAATAGCAAATTTAGTGTTTTATGATAAGTTTAAAATGTTCATTAATTAAATAAAATGTACGTTTACTAATCAGATCATGATATTGACTATCGAAACAGAAAAATGCTATATAGGACACTGCTTGAAAAACTGGTCAGTCTGCCAGTGAGAGATACATCAGCATTGAAGTTTTTCACTAAAAAATGAAAAGTGATAATTTTCGCACAATACATGTATCAAACAATTCTTCTTTTCATGTCACATTGTGTGAAAATACTTGTAAATACTGCTGCGAAGTAAATCAAAATAATTCACTTTATATCTTTTGAAATGTTTTAGAACCTTAATGGTAATCTAACATCAAAGCTTTATGATACACGCGATGACTTTAACTTTCAATCGTCAACTTCCCTTACATATAATGCTGCAACACACCTTTATTACTTCCATACGATTTTAATATCTTTCAGTTGATTCGATACGAAAGAGTATACTCTGCGTATGAACAATTTCTAAAACGAGGTAAGTTATTGACAATCAAGTGGAAGAAACAAGAATATCAGCAGTCTCGTTTTAAAGGTCAGTGCTTAGAAAGATATTTCATGTTAATATTTTATCAGATTTTCTGTATGATTTCATGACTTATATGTTGCTATAGCAATACAAATGAAAATATAATAAAAATCTTATTTTTCGGGAATTTATTGAGGCTTCGAATTTCTAGACGCTTTTGATTGACAAATCCGTGCACTTTTAAAATTTTTTTAGTTTTATCCTTAATACTTAAGAAAAGTAGAAATTTTGTTGCGTATTAATGAACAAGAGGCCCATGGGCCTTATAGGTCACCTGAGCATCAAGCAACAACTTTCAAGTGATTGAATTTGCTTCATGTTTTAAGCTATATTCTATGGCATTCACAATTCTGAAAGAGGCACCATTGCTCATCATAACGTCAGACATATACACTTAGCAATTGCTTAGTGTGGTTACTTAATACCCATAGGCAGGGTAGGGAAACAAAAATGCAGTTCAACTAATCAGTATTATTCAGCAATAATCAGTAGTGCCCCTAACACTGTGGGATAAACCCCTGATCCTAAGTCCACTCATTGCAAAATTTTTAAAAAGGCACCCTTGCTTATCAAAAATTAAAGTTTGATTAATACAAAGGAGCAGATTTCAAACAATAAATTCATTTTCAGTATATAATTAGAGCCCTCCCCCCTGGTACCCCTGACCCTGGGGCCTTGAAATGCACAATTCTGGAGAAAGGGCCCTTGCTCATCATAACTATATTGGTAGTTCATCTGCTTAATACACAGGGGGAGCAGAGAAGAAAATTTTCAAAGATTTAATGTATTTTCACTATATAATCAATAGAGCCCCCCCCCCCCACCAGCACCAGAACCTCTGACCCTGGGGCCATGTTTTTCACAATTCTGGAATAGGCACTCTTGCCCATCATAACTTTGTACTTAGGTAGTTTATTTAATACCCAGGAGCAGTGAAAAAGACTTCCAAAGAATTAATGTATTTTCACTATATAATCAATAGAGCCCCGCCCAAACACCAGAACCCCTGACCCTTGGGCCATAAAATTCACAATTTTGGAAGAGGCACTCTTGCTCATCATAACTATGTACTTAGTTTATTTATTACACAGAGCAGAGAAGAAGATTTTCAAAGAATTAATGCATTTTCACTATATAATCAACAGAGCCCCGCCGTAATACCAGAAACCCTGACCCTGGGGCCATAAAATTCACAATTTTGTAAGAGGCAGCCTTATTCAACATAACTATCTACTTGGTTTGTTTATTTAATGCCCAGGAGCAGAGAAGAAGATTTTCAAAGAAATAAAGCATTTTTACTATATGATCTATATAGCCCCGCCCTAGCACTAAAACCCCTGACCCCGGGCCATGAATTTCACAATTTTGGTAGAGGACTCAATGCTGATTACAATCATGCAAACAGTTTGACTGCTTGATGTCCAGGAGTAAAGAAGATTTTTAAAGATT